ATTCTTGAATTACTAAATGATGACTACAATTACACAGTAAAAGGTCATCTTCAGTCTGTCTGCTGCCAACAAGAGACAATTCCATGTGCGCATGGTACGACAGACAAGCTAGTTTATGGGCCTGACACCTTGCATGGAACGTTACAAATCCCTATGATGTCCTTAAGCTCCTTCTTCAATTGAACTGAAAGATGACTAAAAACCCTACTCAGGCTGATGACTCCCCGTTGACTGGCCATTTGAGAAAGCTCCAGGGTGCAGTTTCTACATCCAGGCTGGTAGTAACTGTGGCTGTTTTCTTGAGCAGAAGCAGCCTTCTGACAGCCAGGGGAGAATTTATGCACATGGATAAAGTTGCCAGATACACCTTTCTCCCCATACAGTATAGGCAGCTCATACGCATTTCTGATTGCTTAAAAAACAAGTCAAAATCAAAACAGCCGAGGGCGTGGCCCCATCCCTTCAGCCAGCATTCACTTCAGTCTGGACTCCACTGTGGCTGACTCAGATTATATGGTGTCAGACTGATGGGACAGCAGAGTCCTCAACACTCCCTTAAGTTAAATCTGTGCTAGTGTGAGATTTACCTTATGCCTTACCACATATGCAAATTGATGATTAAAGTACATAAAGGGTTCAACTTGCTACCAAAACTGTATACTTTCCTCTTCAAAAACCCTTACTTTTAACAAAAGTTTGAGCTTTTAAGCCATGCATGATGGAGTACTCCTTTAATCTCATCATTCAGGTGGCAGAGGTAGACAGATCTCTATGAGATCAAGACCAGCCTGCATCTCTATGAGATCAAGACCAGCCTGCTCTACATAGCAAATTCCAGGTCAGCTGTGGCTATAATAGGGAGACCCTGTCTCAAAAAGACCAAAAAAATTAAAAAATTAAAAAGTTTAAACTTTTGATTAAAAAAAAAAAACTCGGTAAACTATCTGGGACACTGTGTGTAATGAACTGTAATCATTAATAAAGGAAATAAGCTCAGCACTAAACAAAACTAAAACAAAACTAAAACTAAACATAGTTTTTCAGTAGTGGTTAACTTATAAATGTAATGCCTGGGGCTGAAGAGATGGCTCAGAGGTTAAGAACACTGACTGCTCTTGCAGAGGACCTGGGTTCAATTCCCAGCACCGACATAGCAGCCAACAACCATCTGTAACTTCAGTTCCAGGGGATCTGATGCCCCCTTCTGACCTCTGTGGGCACTTCATGACACAGGCACACTTACACACATGTAGGCAATATACTCATACATATAAAATAAAAATAATAAAATATTAAAAAAATACATGCAATGCCCATAGCTTCTGGTCATTCATATATTCAAACACTTAACTGAGCTCTTCATTGATGCCAAGTACTGGAGTTGACACAGATGCTCAGTGCTGAAAGGACACATTCTCTGCCCTCAAAGAGCTCTTACCCTGGTATGGAAGACAGATGAACAAAGCAGAAACTATAATGTAACAGGTAGATCCTCTGACCAGAGATTCACAAGGAGCTATAAAAGGGGGCCAATGGTTCCACTGAAGTAGCTAAGGAAGCTATTTAAAAATACTGGTGCCAGAGCCAATGGCGAAGAGGGGAGGTGAAGGGTATCTGAAGGGAAGGAATGGCATGGACAAAAGTACTAACTAGGGTGTAAGCAGCATGGTGGGTTTGGGAAATGTCAAGTGCTGGGGGCAGTAGTGTTGGAGGAGGAAAACAGAAACTAGAGCACCACGGGACTTGAACAGTGCTTAGGAGTTAGATTGTGTCATCCTAAACTAAATGACTTAAAGTAGGGGACCAACTGGAATAGACTTCCACCTTAGACCTCTCTCAAAGCAGTGTGAAAGAAGAACTGAGAAAGAACCAGTCAGGCAGCCAAGCAGGGGCTGGGACTCTAGAGACAAAGATAGTGGTTGCCCCCGACTACAGAGAAAAGGGAAGAATGCACCCAAGGGACTTTAGGGGGATGGTGGAACTGTTCTAAAACTGAGTGTGGTGGTGGCTGCGTAACCCTGACTTTACTAAAAGGCACTTAATTGTGTAAAAGGAGAAAAATTTATTGCACATAAATTATACATCAACAAAGCTGTTTAAAAAACAAAGAGCAATTAAAAAGACTGGCATATTTTACGTAAGAAAACTGCTGAGGGTCCTGCAATAGGTACTAGAGATTTAGAATTAGTCATGGGCAGAAAGGAGTGAGGGCCCTAGAAACTGAAACAAGGAAGAGGACAGTCAGGTCTGCTGGGGAAGGTGGAAACCTCTGATTAGTCTGCAGATTTGAGACCCCTGTGGAGCTCCTCGAACAAGTTTTCTGAATTCTGCTTTATGGGCACTTTGTGCAGGATAATTCTTAGTACCATCCTGCATTGTAGGATGCTTAGCAGCTTCCTAAGCCTCTAGCCACTAAATTCTAAGATGTGACAACCCAACCTGTCTCCAAATATAACCTTGTCCCTGTGGGGGTGGAGTGGGGGGAAAATTTGTTTGACTTAAGAACCACTTATTAGGGCTGGAGAGATGGCTCAGCAGTTAAGAGCACTGGCTGTTCTTACAGAAGACCCAAGTTTGAATCCAGCACCCACATGGCAGCTAACAACTGTCTGTAACTCCAGTTCCAGGGGATCGATACCCTCTTCTGTCTTTTGCAGGCACTACATGACACAGGTGCACTTACATGCAGGCATAACACTCGTACACATAAGATAAAAATAATAAAAAAGCACCACTTAAGAGAAAAAGGTCTGTGTGTTTTCCCCCTTAAACACACACATATTAATATACTGGTAATAACTAATCTATGAAAAATCTGCATGGATTTTCCTTTTCTGACATTTCACATAGGCAAAATCATAGAATACACACCCTTTGTGTCTGGCTCCTTTGAGTTGGTGTGTTTTCAAGTCTCATCTAGGTTATGGCATGTTTTAGTACATTTTGTGGTCAAATCATCTCTGTGTGGTTGTAGCAGTGTGCTTATTAGTCTTACATTCTCAAAATCCTTCAAGAAGTCGCCAATGATTTCCAATTTGCCAAATCCATATGGTTAATTTCCAGTCCTTGTATTACTCAAGTTATGAGTATCTTTTGAAAGACAACCACTGCCTCCTTAAAACAATTTTTATTTGGTTTCCAGGACCCTCTCTTCTCGCTCCCCTTCTTTACTGGTTGCCCCTCCCCATTTTCATTTTCCCACCCACACAGGGCTTAGTCCTTGGACCTTACAGTCTCCTCTTAGATGCCTGCCAAGCATCTCAAATGAACCGGCTTCCCCTCCTAACCTACAGTCTTCCCCAGACATCTTCCCCACTAAGCAGCAGCTCCTTTCTTCCACGTTCTCAGGGTTTCAGCCTTGGAGTTTCCTTTGGTTCTTCTTCCTCTCTGAACCATCCATCAGTCAGTGGCTCGACCTTGACGGCCAGAATCTAACCACATCTTGCCTTTGTTATCTCTGTAACATTCCAGCCCAACTTCCACTTGCTCTCACTTGCATTATGCCAACAGTCTCCTGACTAGGCCCCTTGTTCCCAGGCCCCATATGCATGCTGCTAAAAGCTATTCTCCACGCAGCATCTAGCATGATCCATTTAAAAGCTGGGTCAGATCACATCATTCTTATGAACAAAATTCTTCATAAAATGACTTTTATGAAAGGTTGTTTGCAAAATGGCCATCAGAATGTCCTTCTTTGGGTCCACACACTCATGGAGTCCTTCCTATGTGGACTCTGGGCATGGTTGTGTGGCCAACATACCAGAGGCAGCTGAAAAATGCTTGTTCACTGTGGCTGGCCCTCCATCACTCTACTTCTGCAACCACGTGAACAGACTCAAGCTAGCCTCCTGGAGATAAGTGATCTCTTGAAGAGAAGCTATCCTAGCTGTGTGACCCTTCAGTTTTAGATAAACCAGCCTCATCTAGAAGAAAAAGCTCACCTCGAGAATTTTGAAAAAATAGTAACTGTATTGTATTAAGCCATTAAATAGTGGGGTGGCTTGTTACTCAGTGAAAGCAAACTGGGGTAATGCTGTTCATTTCAGAAGTCGATGTTCTACCACAGCCACAGAGCCATTCTTCCCGCTCCACTTGACTTAGAGAGCCTCCTTATAGCCTCCTCACTGTCCTACCTCAGGGCCACTGTACTTTGTTTCCCACACTTGGACTATCTTTCCGCCAATACCTCGTTCTTTGCTCCCTGACTGCTTTTTTATCCCTGCTCAAATACCAGCATATCCAAGAGAACTTCTTTTACACTAACAAGTACCTCTGACACTCCCTTTATTATTTTTTCACTTTTTAGTTCTTCTCACCCGACATATACATTACAATTGCTTTCATTTGTTATACCAGAATTTGTAAGGGCAAGAACTTTGTCTTATTTATTACGGTATTGTTTTAATAGTGCCTGGAACTTTTCAATCACCAGGAGAATGACAAAAGTAATAGCCTTTCTGACAACTTGATGTCCAAGTCTATCACCTGGAATGTTTCTTAAGGCTAAGGCAGGAACACTGGGGACTGTGCTCCACAATGGGGCAAGTTACATTTGATACTGGTCTACAGCACCTAATACCTAGAAAACATTCAAATATATAACCACCAAGCTTTTTTAAAAAATATCTTTAAAGATTTATTATTTTCATTTTGTGTCTATGAGTATATTGCCTGCATGCATGTAAGTGCACCAGTGTCATGAAAGGCCTGTGGACGTCAGAAGAGGTGTAGGATCCCTTGGAACTAGAGTTATGGATGCTTGTTAGCTGCCATGTGAGTGCTGGGAATTGAATCTGGGTCCTCTGCAAGAGTAGCCAGTGCTCTTAACTATAGAGCCATCGCTCCATCCTTCCTCCCAACCAAGTCTTCAGAAGGGCAGCTGGATGCTGGCTTGCCAATGGCCAACTCTAAGCTCTGTACCCTTTGACCTTCCATGTTCATCTTTCCCTCCCATTAACCTATAAAAACAAACAACAACAAAAAAACCAAAAGCCCCAAGAAAATGTTATCAGCATAGAAATTTATTTTAATCCAAAATAATATGTCTATATTTAGAATAATGTAATAATTATCTAAAGGAAATATCATTATTGGCTCTGAGATAGTCTAAAGATGTCATTCTTTTGAAGTCAAAAATAATGTAGTAAGAATGTACAAGGAAGCAAAAATATAGAAGCAAGTCTGGTGAGTGCTGGGGTTATACAGGAGGGGCACACTAAGACACTGGAACAGAGTCCAAACAGTAAGACATGCAGCAACCAGCTCCATCTATCAATATCCAGAAAGTAAGTCAGCAACCTCAGGAAGTCAGGAATAACAGCACTTAGTTAACAGGACCAACTACCCGAGGAATACAGGTAGTGATTCACTATATTTTTTCCCTCTAATTTGTCTCTGCACACCAATTTCTTTTCTTTCCTTTACCACAAGTTTCACCCTGTTGACAAATACTTGGTTTTATTTGCAAAGTAGAACAAATAAAATATTCTGATCAAAGTATTCAGTTTAGTTGAAAATGCTCAGGGATCAAACTTTTTAAAAAGGTCAACTGAGCTAGTTAGCAGAAACCATCAGTGGCTTGCAGAAAAAAAAAAAAATCAGGTATGTTTGCTAAACAGATGGAAAGCAGCATTTAAAAATGGGTGAAAAATCCCAGGGATTATTGTAATATAGACAATCAAAAGCAGACAGATGACCTTTGATTAAACCCATTTACTTGTAGAGTGAGCTAGAAGAAAGCTCTAGACAGAGTTTGTTCTCAACAGTGTCCATGGCCAGAAGGCACAGTCAGAAGGTTTCCTCTTCTCGTAGATACTGGAACACAGATGAGAAGTCTTTCTTTGAGTAGCCCTTTGCACACATCATCCTATAGATCTGATGGGCCAGGCTGCCTAGAAGGATTGGGCTCTTCGTGTTGGTGGCAGAGTCTTGTGCCAATCCCAGGTCCTAAGTCAAACAAGGCAGGAGGGAACACATTTGAGACTTCTGGTAAAGACTCATTTTGGAATTGTTTCCTAATGCTAAAAGAGGAAGGAACAATAAGATTTGTATAAGCTGTGTGTGTGTGTGTGTGTGAGAGAGAGAGAGAGAGAGAGGGAGAGAGAAAGAGAGAGAGAGAGAGAGAGAGAGAGAGAGAGAGAGAGAGAGAGAGAGAGAGAGATTTTCCCTCTTTTGATGCTGGGGATCAGGCTGAGCATTTCATGTAATGCTAGGTAAGCACTCTACCTCTAAGTGCCACTCCCAGCCCTTAAACACTTTAGTAAATGCTTTCATACAGCTAGAAAAGTGCTCCAAACAGAAACTTTGATTTCTGAATGTCTGTGATCCCATCCTCTGTGAGAACTATCTGTTTTATTTTGTTTGGGGATAGGAATTACTATTACTATTACTAGGCAGGATTACACAGGGAAATATTTTTTAAATCTGCAGAAGTAGATAAGATAGTCATAAAAATATTTTCTAACACGAAAAGGAATATATAGAAACAGCTTCAAATATTACTCTATCCAATAAATACTTAAAGTGAGCCAGAAGCTGGCATGCAATGATAAACACAGCCACAGTGCACATAAGCCCAGACCACTGAAGAAAGACAATCAACAGGGATTTGTATAATTTGAAGAGTGCTACCAATATGGGAGCCTAAGAGGCACAGTCCAGGGTGCTGGGTAAAACCTTCCAGAGAAAGAGATGGCTGAGCACAGAGCTGAAAGATGAGTAGGTGTTAGCTAGGTAAAAAGCATGGGGGGAGGGTGGCAGGAAAGAAAGAGTGGTCCTGGCAGAGAAGAGTCAATGGGAAGGTTTGCGAGTGAGAAAGAACAAGAGGCAGAAATGAGCTCAGCATGGCTAAAGCAGAGAGGAAGGACGAGAAACTGAACGTAGTGAAGGAAGCAAAGGCCAAATCATCACGGCCTTGTTAGACAAAATGCAGAGATAGGCATTGACCAACGAGTATGGAAACTATTAAGGGAATGTACCAGGAGACTGACATACTCAGGTTATGTTTCAGCCTGTTCTCACTGTCATGTGGAAAATGAACTGGAGAAGGTCAGAAGGGAAGGCAAGAGGATCAGCTAAGGAGTCCTGAGGTGCATCAAAATGATGCATAGCCATGAAATTGGTGGAGGAAGAAAACAGACCTGAGTGAATTCAAGACATACTCAAGAAGTAGAACAGATAAATGTCACGGGGGATTTGGAGAGTAAGATAAACAATGGTGTGTGTGTGTGTGTGTGTGTGTGTGTGTGTGTGTGTACTCTTGTAATCAGGGGAAATGTCAAGAGGGGAGGGATGAGCTCCATGCAGAAATCTGGAAGTCTTCCATCTAAGAATTATTTTCTACAGTTGAGATTACGAATGAAAGGAGGCCAAAGAATTGCTTTTCAAATGACTAATTTACAGAAATTCATACGTATACATTAAGCAGGAAGATATATTTAGAAACCATGGGAGGATTTCCTCTTCTTTTGTGATGTGTATACACAATGCACTAACAACTGCTTTCACTCTCAGGAGTTGGTAAGTTAACATAAATTTATAATGAAGCACAAAAATCTCACCAGCTTATATTATAAGTAAAACCAAGCACCAGAGAAAAAATTTGACTTATTCTTTTCATTCAAAAGCCCAGGAATAAAATGAACAAGGATTTTTTTTTTTAATGACAACATAATTTGTATTTATCACAATGTTATGGTTAGCTCAGTGATTAACATACACAATTAGGGAATCACAACAGAATATTAGAGAATTGAGTTTACACCCCTGAGTTCCAGTACAGGATAACCCAGTAGCAACCAGTAATCCCATGAATCCAACCCCCTAGTGATCTACAAAACTTAGAGTCTGAGCTCCTTCACCTTGTGCCTACATGCCCCCCTAAAAACTAAAGTCAACCCAGAACAGGTACTACAAGTGACCATGAACAAGGATTTTTATCAAATTTATGTTAATTTTTAGTAGGAAAGTGACTCACTACTGAATCTTGCCATCTAGATTAAACCGTTAAATAGTTTCTTCCCTCTCTCTTGGTTAATCTTTGCATTTATCATACCTTAGCCATGAGCGTTGTTCCAAATCCACCCTGATAGTTATTAGCTGAGGGAACTCCATCCATTACTCCTGGTACAGGATTGTAAGTGTCACTTGACCAACATCGTCCTGAGCTCATATTCAGGATTTTAGCCAATAGTTTTGGGTCAAGCCCTAACCTGTCAAAGGTCAAAGAAAAATGTTAAATGTTAGAATGGACAAGTCACCCATGACTTATTTATGTGTGAGGAGGCTCCATCTTTTCTTTCCAATAGTATATATCTGAAATCAAAGCAGAGTTGGGAGGCAGGGAATCACTGCAAGTTTGAGGCCAGCTTGGGACATACAGTGCGTTCCAAACCAATCTGGACTACAGAGCAAGATCCCATCTCAAAAAGCCAAAATAAATAAAATAAATGAATAAATACATAGATTTAAAGCCAGATAAGCAATCCACTTTTGAATTATATAGTATTAAAAGCTATTGATTTAAGCAAGATCATTTCTGAGCCAGAACATTTAGAGAAAGTTTTCTGCACTATCTATTATTGAGAAGAAATTATACATAACTGCATTAAAAGTGTGGTCAGTTTGTCACACACACACGGCCTTTCTAGTCTTTCAGATATTATTGCTTTTATATGTCACTTATGAACTTTAAATCAAGTGATAAGCTAAATTCTACATCCACACACAAATGACGTATTTCAGAAAGAAATACTGACAAACAATACATCATAGGAGTCTGTGTGGATGCATTTACACTCATGCTTATTCCTTTGGCTTTTGTGAGAATATAAGAGATGAACCATGTGCTGTAAAATGTGCTTAGGAGAAGTTATCATTATAAAAGAAGTTATTTCTTGCTGCAAACTTATCCTTATTTATTAAATCCTCATTAGATAATCCTGCTTATGAAGCAAATATACCCAGAGTTGTGACATATGCTATCTATTCAGAGACATGCATTATAGTTCTGGGTCGACTGTGGATAAGGTTACTGATCCTGATAAAACAAAGCTTGCCCAAGCGGAAACATCATTTGTTCTATCACTGGGCTGATGACATAAATGCTACTCAGTGTGGACCCTAGAAGAAACGGCATCAAGATGCTCTACTACGTTGATTTTAAGGAAGCACTCTTTGGGAAGTACCATTTGGTTAAGTATCACTGAATCAAGTTTCAAATAAAACTTTATACTCAGCAATTTATTGGTTTCTTTCATGCAAAGGACCATTATAAAACAACTGTCATAAAAACTCTGCTTTGTCTTAAAACCAACCTCTTCTAGAAAATTTAAAAAAAAAAAAAAAAAGATTGAAAAGAGGCACTTATGTAAATGTTAAACAAACTGCACTCTAGCATGCTTAAGTTGTTTACTGCATGTGCTGGAAACATATGTCTGCTCACTTAAAAACCTGAATCCAAAACCAGTAAAACAGTTTTCTGTTGCTAAAGCAGAGAAAAGAGTTAATAGTCAGGATATGTATAGAATTCCATGTACAACAATGGGACATTATATAATCAGGCTTTCGAGAGGTGGTGCTATGTGACACCAAGAGTCTAAGTTTGTATGGTGGCCTTTATTATAATGATGGGTTTTTTTTATTAAGATTTATAAAAAATATAGATTTCCTCTATATCACCTATCATAAATTCTGTTTAATAACAGATTGTCAGATAGAAACCCAACAGTTTTACTTTGATTTTATAAAGGCCCAAGTTTGGCAGAGCATGTTGGAGAATGCTTGTATCCTAGCACTTGGGAGGCAGAAGCAGGAAGATCAAGAGTTCAAGGCCAGAGTGTGTTACATAGTGAGTTCCAAGCCAACTCATGCTACATTAGTGAGATGCTGTTGCAAAAAAAAAAAAAAACAAAGGGGAGGGGCTGGAGATATGGCTCAGTGGGTAAGAACCCTGGCTGCTCTTACACAGGGCCAGGGTTTGGTTACCAGCATCCACTGGCAGCTCCCAACTGTTTGTTACTACAATTCTAGGGGATCCAATGCCCTCTTCTGGCCTCTGCAGGCACCAGACATGGACATGACACATGTACACACTCAGGCAAAACACCCATACACATAAAATAAATCTTTAAAAAAAAAAAAAAAAAGAGGAAAAAAAGATGGAGCAGTATCATTTCATCATGGTTTGTTTCCTGAGTAGTTTGCAATGGATGTTTTCTTCTGCCAGTTTAAATGAAACACACTATCAATATGATGGTGTGATCTACAGCTTAGGAAAATGAAAAGCCAGCGTTCTTTGGGAATAACTATGAAGAATAAAACCACAAATTAACTATTAGTTGATTGCTGTAACTATAAACATGTTATCTAAGCACAACCATCCATCCCTAACGTGCTCCATAAAGAGAACATATTTTTGAAGACAGCTAAACATTTTGGGTGTTTCCCAACTTAAGATTTCCAGATGATTTCCCCTCTTTATAACCTGCTGGGTTATGCTGGGTAGTGCCTCACAAGAATCTTCACTGCTGAGGATATTCACACACTGTAGCAGTCACCTTAAAGCAAGGAAAGCATACTTTCCTAACTTGGCAAAAACCTCCATTTTTCTTGAATTAAATATTCAAAGGAAAAATACTGGCACTGGTTTATGAAAACCTGGTTTTGGTGAACATATTGGGGGAGCGGGGAAGGGGGATGCAGGCACACCCGCAATCCAGTGGCAGTTGTTTCTCCATTCACTTTTCAAATCTGGAGCCTGGTGCTCTCTGACTGCCTCCCGACTCTGCAGCAAAGTATATCATTAAAAAGAGCAAGTGAGGAGTGTTTTGCATTTCATGTGAGGATTCTTTAGCTGGCACATACATAACTGACAGTTAGAATTAGACATGATATTAAAATCAGTTACTGAAGTCTTCTGTCTTCCACTGTGCCCAAGGCTTGTAATGGTCTGAAACCAGCTAGAATACACAGTAATTGTCATTCAGAGAGTCTACCCTAGAACGTCATGCTTCACTGGAGAAGACTGAGTTTCCATTTGAAATCAACAAATTAATCCAAGACAGGTATCTGAAAGGGCAAGTTTAATAGGAAGCAGCTACTGGGCTCTCAACCATGATAAAATGTTATTGCTGTTTCCCTGTAAATTGGCTGGGAACATATGATACTTTCTGCATAAGAGCCCCATTGCTGTTCAGGAGATATACAGCTCAAGCCATCAAAAGGATGACAGTCTGTCAGTCCCCATAATAACTTGCCACTGGATGTGGTTCGAGAGTGTGCGTGTGCATGCTTGTGACTTTACAATTGCTGGAATGTTCTCTGATATAAACAGGATGAATTCATTGCTCTGACCGCATATATAATGCAACTCAAATAAACGCCACTATGTCAAAGCTACTCACCTCTAAAACACAAGAACATTAAATGAACTTTTTGGAGAAGTGAAAATGATGCATCAACTATTTAAAAATGAAAAAGTATTAAAAAAAAAAACCTTTGCCTTTACCATAACCAAGGTTTTAAGGGCCAAAAGTTTGTTCATTTATATCTTTGTTTAGTGTCTACATTGGTTTTATGTAAGAACAATACAGCAACAACAAGAACTGGAGACAGATCTGGAAATAAAACATCTAAGGCCATGTCAATTTTAATCAATCACTCACTTAATTCACTAATGCTTATTCAGATCTGCTATGTGCCAGTGTTAGGCACGCAGCCAAGGAGGCGACAAAGAAGTTGAGAGCAGCCTGTGCCTGCCTTCCAGGGGCAGGTGAGGAAAGATCTAGGTGCAGAGAGCATGTGACTAAGGCAAAAGGGCTGCATCCCATCCACTCACCCCCGCAACCACAACCTTCATTTAGTCAAGTCTTTGCTGAGTGTCTGCTATTTGCCAGGTATGCACTGAAGAGTCAGCCATGAGTTCACAGAACCATGTCCTTTCATGGAACTCATTTCTAGATGGGAAGCAAGACAGACAGGCAATAAATAAGCATAACCACATATGCGTGCGTACATACACACACACACACACACACACACACACACACACACACACACACACACACACACACACCAGTGCCAGGTAGTGATATGGGCCATGAAGGGAAAAATACCCAAGTAAGAGTCAATTCAAATACTAACCACCTCACTACAACCACAGATACCATTAACTACCATGCTAGGAACAATTTTTTAAAGATTCCTTACATGGATTGGGGGTTGAAGAGATGGCTCAGTGGTTAAGAGCACCGACTGCTCTTGCAGAGGACCTGGGTTTGGTTTCCAGTACCCACACGGTGGCTAACAGCCATCTGTAACCCCAGTTCCAAAGGATCTAATACCGTCTTCTGACCTCTGCAAGCACTGCACAACATGGGTGCACTTCTATGCATGTAGGCAGTATACTCATACACATAAAAGAAAAATAATAAATAAAAAAGATTTACATGGATTAATTCACCTTCACAATAAACCTAGGAGACTGATACTATTATTATTTCATAAATGAGAAAGGCAGAAGTCATGCATAACAAGATGCAGATTCTGACTAACTAGCCAATGTAGCATTTTATCTGTTTATTAAGAAATCCAGGGGCTGGAGAAATGGTTCACTGGTTAAGAGCACTAGTTGCTCAATAAATTACTTAAAAATAAAAAAAAAAAAGAAAAAAAACAAAACAAAACAAAAACAAAGAGCACTGGTTGCTCTTGCAGAAGACCTGGGTTCAGTTCCCAGCACCTACACGATGGCTAATGACTGTCTATAGTTTCAGGAGATCCAACACCCTCTTCTTGCCCTCCATGGGGATTGCATGACATGGGTATACATACATACAGGCGAAACACTTATACACATACAATAAAAAAGGAAGGAAGGAAGGAAGGAAGGAAGGAGGGAGGGAGGGAAGGAAGGAGGAAAAAAAAAGGAAGGAAGGAAGGAAGGAAGGAAGGAAGGAAGGAAGGAAGATCAAGTGAGAAAGAAACTAACCAAGCTGGGTGTGATGATGCACATCTTCAATCCCAGCACTCAGGGGTAAGGGTGAGGGGAAGACAGAGGCAGGAGAAGCACAGTAATTTTGAGGCCCGCCTAGTCTATACAGTGTTTTCCAAATCAGCCAGGGATGCATAGTGAGATCCTGCCTCAAAAGGAAAAAAATTCTAATAAAAATGTTTAAACTTTCTGCCATTTGTTCCATTGACTAGGGTATAAAAATAAGATATTTCTGTCCTCACATTAAGAGAAAAGGCAACATCTAGGTGCAATGACCAGGAAATTTAATTACAGTTGTGGAAAAGTTCTCACGGCTTTCAACTGTTCAAGAGAAGTCCAACTGTTTTCTGCCTCCTTTGGTGAAGAAGACAAGATGGTGGCAGCACGCAGGGCCTGGGCTCTACTGGCAATGCAAACAACTTGTTATAGCACTGATGCTTTTTAGAAATCAATTCCCAATGGAGCAAAAATAAAAATAAAACAATAAAATTCACATTAACAATGCTGTTTCTATGTAATCCACAGAAACACACTTTCTGTAATACTAGTAGGGCACTTTCAAGGCCATAAAAATTACTTCAGAGCCCTAACTAGGAATCTAATTAGATAGGAGAAAGGTCCAATAAAAAGGCATCTCAAAATGTATTGTATACCAATATTTTTGCTCTTTATTTTTTTTATAACATTTTAAAATTTCACTAACATCCATAAAGACTCACTGTAAAAGAGCAAAGGGTCAATACGTATTTTAAACTGTAAGATTTTATTCCTGTATTAAAGAGAAACAGCATTCCAGAAAAAACACTGACTTAAGAGAATGAAATTAATCAGAAATGATCACTTCATTCCAACAGGCAACTCAGTCTGTAAATGTTGTCATTAATACTCTAAAAAATTTCACTTGTGAGTGCTCAGAATATAAACGTGGGTGAACTGCTTTGATGTTGCACAGCTTTGTAGGAATTTACTACTTGGGAATTTATGCTTGCTGATGCCAATTTTCTCTTTCACCTTGCAAAGCTCAATAAATCGTGGCCGCTCTCTACACTCTATTAGAGAACAATCCTGTCATTTTAAACCATGTCTGTAAACCATGAGAAAAGACGATCACAAAAGCACCCATTTTTAGGGCTTGCAAACCACTTAGAACCTTTGTAAAATAAAGTGAGAAAATCCTAATGTTACAAAAATAATTTATTAATACAATCTGAAACATTGGCAAGTGATAAATTATTTTAACAGTCAAATAAAATGAGCAAATTTTTGCCCTTTTTACACATTTTATTTATATGCATGGGTCTATATACATCAGTACATATTTGGATTTTAAAGAAAAATTAAACATTTAAAAGTTTCATATTTTCAAATACTATTTTGTCATAGTGGATCATGACCAAAATAAGGAAAATTATTGTTTCTGCTATTCATGTCCTTATTTGCAATTCTGTCATCTTCTATTTCCTTCTTGCAAACCACCCACTACAGTAGCCCATGGTTTTCATTTCAACATATACATTCTATTCGGTGGAAATTCCACTATTTACTAGCTGGTATTTAGAGAACATTCACAAGCATTTACCTTAGACAAAGGTCCATTTTAATTTTCTAAATTGCATATATTTCTGTTGTGTGTGTATGTGTGTGGGCTTGCCACAGTGCATGTGTGGAGGTCCGAGGACAACCTGGGAGAGTCAGTTCTCTCCTTCCACCATGTGGGTTCAGGGGATCGAACTCAGGTTGTCAGGATTGGCAGCGATTGCCTTCTTTACTCACTGAGCAATCTTGTCAGCCCCAAAGCTTCATTTTAGAAAAGAAAATGATCATCTAATCAGAGTTTTGACAGGAAAATTATTTAAGTACCAGAAGATGCATCATTGAGTCTAAGGTGCACCCTGAGCCAGTGACGGATGCGCAGGGGAAGGGGTAAAGAATAAACTAGTGAAGATAAGGTGGGTACTTTAGTCCTAGTATAACCTAGGTTTATCTAGGTTTTTACTTTTTATGGTGTATTCACTTATTTTCAGAAAAATTAAAAAAATTATACACATAAACATCTATGTTGTCTAGTCTTGTTGTCGACATCAATTAATTCTACATGTAATATGGGTTTCTATTTTCCTCTTCCATGAAATAGGTCTAGAGAATAGACATGAAAACAAATTTGCTAGTAACAAGTTTTGCAGTTATGATAAGTGACCCATAGCCTGAAACTGGCCACAATACAGATACAATACTCTGAAGGGCTCCCCATGCACAACTGGTTTTATTAAGGCTCTGCACAGATATGCCTTACCATCTTATAGACATTCAGTTTTAAAATGTAAATGGTATGGGATATTGATAAACCAATTAGCGCTGATGCAAAGCAAATTCCTCTTTTATCTCAATTACAACATGACAACTTAATAGGTCAAGATAGTTTAACATCTGAGACAGGAGCAATTCAATAAAACAACAGCATCTTGATATGGTAATTAAGAGGAAATGCGAACCCATTACCTTTTAAAAAATATCTCAAGCACTATGGCTCCTTTTATTGCTTTTATCAAAAGCTGTGGTCTGAGCCACTGCTCTGCTCAGTGATGTCTCTGATAAGTTAGGTTTGGACAATGTGAAGAAAAGATGGGACTAAAGTGTCTTGCTCATTAAGCAGCTTTCTAAAGTAACAAATGTGTATTTATTATATTCATGAGATACAAAAACATTCAAAATATTAATTAGGTGATTAATCATAAGTAGCGGTCCCAATTCAAAAGATTAAAGGCTAAAAATAAGGCATTAACCTTAAGCATTCTAAAGGATGGTTTCTGGAAGGAAAAACAGAATTCCTGACTCACTAGTGGCATTTCATATCTTAATGTAAAGTAACCAGGCAAGTTAAAATGGAAGTTATGCACATGAACTGTACTTTTAAGAATGCAAGCCTGATTATCCTGACAGCAGACTACCAAAAACCTTTTAATGCAGATTCTGGGGACTGTATTTAAAACAGGTACATAAAACCAGCTTCATGGTAGCATAACACTTGAATTCACTATACATAAAAGCATGTTTCACATAAATTTGTCCTAACACCGCCAAAATGTTTAAATTTTATCGTAAAAGTGTTTCTTGCCTTTCAGCATAATAGATGATATGGGGCTTCCATATAATAAATAAAACTTCAAATTCACAGCATGATATACTTTGTGCCTAAGGCAAAGAGCATTCAAGTTCTCCAAGAAACAAAACCTACAAAGTTTAATAATAAAGCCCTTCTAAAGCATCCCTGGATCAACCCACTTATCTCTCATCAACATAATTCTTTTAACATCAAAAATCAAATAGGGGGTTGGAGAGATGGCTCAGTGGTTAAGAGCACTTATTGCTCTTCCAGAGGACTCAGGTTCCATTCCCACCCATATGGCAGCTAACACTCATTCTTCAGTTCCAGGGGATCCGACACCATCTTCTGGCCTCTGAGGGTACCAGGCATGCACATGGTACACCTGCATACATGCAGGCAAAATGCTCATACACATAAAGTTAAAAAGTAAAATCTTGCTAGGTATAGTGGCACATATACTTTGAAGGCAGAGGCAGGCAGATCTCTGTGAGATCAAGGTCAGCCTGTATACCTAGTCAATTCTAGGCCAGCTGGGGCTATAGAGAAACCCTGTCTCAAAAATAAAATAAAATAAGGAAGACAATTGTCAGTATATGAAAATGTTCCATTTAACAAACCTGATTCCGAGATTCATAGCTTCAGCAGTTCCAATCATACTAATAGCCAACAGCATGTTGTTGCAGATCTTTGCGGCCTGAAAATAAATTGAGTACATATTAAATACCTTTATTTTCAAGTTATAGTTTACAGGAACCTTTTCTTAATCTGAGACCATAGGCCTCTTTCAAAAACAAAACAAAAAGAAACAAAAAAACCCCCAGCATTCAATTGTGGCTACTCCTGAATGAGAAGGACATTCCGTTCAGCACGCCTCCATGAGCCTAACACACTGCCCAGGGCAGTCTCTGGGAGTCTCTTCCTTCCGCTTGATAATAAATGGCACTCCTAGCATGGGCTCAGCACTATAAGGACTGCTGATCCATGGGGCACCACTGGTCTGAAGGAAGAAGACTCCATTCTAATCTGGAAGTGGGAAAGATATGCTACTCTAAAGGTAACAAATGAGCAAGGAAAAGAAACAAATGGTCAAGTATGCGATAAAGATACTAAGGAAGAGACAGCAGGGCTTCAGGGAGAATCACACGAGTGTGAAGGTATGTTAGGAGTGGGATAAGAATAATGAGCTTAATTTCAGAATTCAACAATATTATCATCAGTAAAAGCAGGAGCACAGAGGAGGTATAGCTGGAAATCATCTCTTAAAAGGCCAGGGCAGCATTTAAAAAGGCAAGAAAGAAAATGGAGATCACGGGAAAAGGTAAATATAGAAAAGGTATTAAATTACATGACAGCACGTATATCCCTGGGATTATAAGAAAATTACCATATATACATATGAATATTGAGAAATGTGATAGTTAAGACTGCCCAGAGAGTTAAAATTCGATATGGTAGAAAACAGGTGTCTCCTCTGTTCCAAATAGGGACGCACCAGGAACACATAGACATCTTGACAGAGTTGGGTTTCATTACAGTGTTGGGCAGAGTGGTAAATTTGACATCTAGAGCCCCATTTGGCTCTCTAGCAGTAAACTAAGTATTTGATAATGGAAGAAAGATTAGATTCAAGTAATGTGCAGATTGACAAGATGGTCAGAAATGGGAATCATTAAAGTAAAACTCAATAAAATTTGGAGAATGGCCCAAGTATGGAAACAGTAAGTTTAGCTCAATAAAGGTGTCTAAGTTAACACTGAAGTTCTTGAGCCTTATTGACTATGATAAAAGCACTAAGAGGAGCAGTGGAATGAGCATGAACACGGCTAGGAGTGGTCAGAAACAGCTTCACTTCAGAGTTCAGTACTATCAATCATCTCATGCTTCTAAAGTTATTTGCTTTCAAGAAGATTAAAGTGCATGGACTATTGCTTCCTAATTGCACCTCCAATATAACAAATAATTACAAAATTACAAAATTAAATGATGGCTAACAGCCATTCAGACATGAGAACTTCAAACAGAAGTAGTATAAAGGTTGATTTCAGTGGTCCCTGGACTGCATGTCAAGACCCTAAAAAATGAATTTTGGATATTTAAAAAAAATAAATACATTGGTTGACATCTGCCTAAATCTACTAGAAATTATGGAAAAACCAACCTATTCCAAATTAACAAAATCTAAGCAAGGAATTCACAGAAGGAACACATTAAAGAGGAACAATATGTGGTCAGGAAAAAGAAAGGAATGTTTTACATGAGTCATGTCATCCTTGTTACCTGCCCAGTCCCAACAGCTCCACAATATAGCACACTGGAGCCCATGCACCCCAGCAACTCTTGGGCAGCAGCAAATTCATCTTCAACTCCTCCCACCATAAACGTGAGGTTCCCAGACCGAGCAGCTCCTACACCTGAGTCATCAAAAGAGATAGAAGCAAAAGGAAATCATTCTTAAACTGTTTAGGTAAGTGTCAAATGAGACAAATATCTCTAAATAAATGTAAACATTTTGCCTCAAAACATATTTTTGCCAGGCATGTGTAAGAGTCTCTAAATCTCCAGAGGAATAATTCTTCAAGTGTTATGTAGGTTAATCATAAACTCAAAAGACAAACAGATTTGGTCCTGCTCCCATTCTCAATTCATCGGCACAATCATGGCACAATATACAAGAGAATCTGAAATGTCCATTTTATTTTAATTCATCCTAAGACACCTATTCAGTAATAGAAAGTCAATCTGTCTGTCTGTCATCTATTGATCATCTATCTGTAGTTTATCTGAGCCCTGACTAGCACTGCAGCAAGCAGAGGGGCCTGCTGTCAAGCAGCACTGGAGGACTCTGGTTCACAAGCTCCCTCTCCAAATTCCATCTACAGATGGGAGCTATAGAGATCTGACTTGGGCCCATAAACAAGTCAGCATTTTGGATGGCAAGATTCTACATATATTTTTTGTTTTGGCTTTTTGAGACAGGGTCTCCCTGCAGCCCCCAGCTGGCTTGGAACTCACTATGTAGACCAGGCTCACCTCAATCTCACAGAGATTTGCTTGCCCCTGGCGGCCCCATCTCCCCATGGTGGGATTAAAGGTATGAGACACCATGCCCCAGCTCTATTTTTTTTTTTTTTAAGGGAAAGGAATGTTATTTTGATGGCCCTTGGCGCTTTACAGTACCAGTTGCTTCTGCTACACATCTTTGAGGCAACTCATTCCTACTGATAGGAGCACAAACAAGAAATAAACTTTAACACTGGTTTGGCTATGTCTTAGCTTTTAACAGAGGCTTGATGAATGATTACTGATTAAAATGTTCTAATTTAGGCTTGTCTTAAAGGGGTGGGGAGGAGCCTTCTTCCAATAAATTTTTATTAAGTAGAAAATAAAATCAAGAATAGTAATGTTTTTAACATTGAGAGAAATATTAGTTCAAAATTTTAAGTTGGATTTTCATATTCAAAAATAGTATGTGGATAAGCTATATCAGTACAACTTCTGTCTTACAACTCACTTTATAACTTATCTGCAGCTAGAGATAAGGAAACCCTAACTATATCAAGAATCATACCTGGTCATTAGGACTGTCAGTAATGGCCCATTGTTTCAATTTAATTTAACGTATAAAATAACAGTTTTACACATTAAAATAGCCCACACGAAGAGTTCCCTATTTCATTTAAAATAAAACTATTTTGCTACTGCCAATCAAGTAGCTTTCTCTTTCATGGTTCATTCTATTATTAATCATTTACTAAAAGCAAGGTCAGTGATTTAAACCAAACAATCTTGGGAATGCATTCCCTTATGTTACAGAAGCCTAAAATGCTCACACATATTTCAAATTACATAATTTCACACTATCTTCAGACATAGTTTTAGAGGGATTATGTATAAATACCTAGTTATAGAAATACTTTCAATCAGCTGATTGATGTTGTTTGAATATTCTGATAATGTTGATATTTTAAAAACTGTCATTTTGCTCATTTCTAATTCACTTTACCAAGATAGTGAACCACTAATATTTTATGATTGTTTTGCTCAATTTCTTTAGCCATTCTCATTCAAACCACATAGCCACCCCTTCTCCTAATCCTGTTGATCTGACCTAGAGAAATTAAGTAGACAATTTAAGTCAAAGCTTACAAACAAATCCAGCACTATCCATCATAGGTCAGCAGCTTTGTATCTAGATTACAGACTGCTAAATAGCTTCAGAGAGTCATTTATTAAAAGAAAAATTAATGCTGACAATGGTTCTCAGCTGGTTAATCTTTTGACAGGTGCACTTTCTCACTTGTTCAAACACATATTTCAAAAAGAAGAAATAAGTTACTTAAGCAAGAAAAGATCACACAAGAAAGAATAATTTATCTTTTAATCTGGAAGTTCATAGCAGCCTGATTCTTTCCCCTCTCAACACCGTGGTGTGCTGCTTCTGACCTTATCATAACCTACACCCAACGTAGGGTCTGGTCAAACTGAGTAATTCTAAAAGCTTTGGCAGTTCTTGGGGCCAAATCCTATCTTCCCATGCACATTCTTTAAATCCATCCAGGCTACTCCCAATGGAAGGACAGAACTAAGACTTCAACCATCCTAAAATAAACATGACCACTGTGAACAGAGGAAAGGACACCTGGAGAGCTGGAACTCAAAAGCTTTGCAAGACACCCTACAGACTTCAGAGGACACTGTAGGTTTTTATGTCCATTAGTAATAAGCAATAAATATATTGTCTTGCAAATATTTTAATTCAAGCCCATTTTCCAAAATAGGGCAACAAAGAATGCATGTTTGGGTAGCCAGGGCACTGGGAGAAATATTTACAAGTTGAATATCCCTAATTCAAAAACCTAAAATCTGAAACGTTCCAAATTCCAAAGCTTTTTGAGGCCATAACAGGAAATTTTCTATCTGTCCTTAGGTGATGGGACACAGTCAAATTGCAGGCACACTAAAATTTTGGTGTAAAATTACCTTCAGCCTATAAAGTGCACATAAAACAGAAATAAATTCTGTGTTTAGACTTGGGCCTCAACCCTAAGATATCGCATG